CTTGGCCTCGGTAGTTCAGCAATGGCATCGCAGATTCCTTTTCCAGGTGACGAACGGATGCAATAGACCACTCTCGGTTGCTTGCTTCCTGACCATCCCGTCTTATTTTATCGAGCAGTTTTTTTGTTTGTTTTTTTGTAAGGGAGTTAATATAATTTTATTCTTAATTAAAAACGCCGAAGGACAAATCACAAAGCGAGAATCGTGATCGTGATAGGCTACGCCTTGTGTATTTTTACGCCATCGGCGATCATAAAAACAACAAAAACTAGAAACCAGAAGAAGAAAAAAACGAGTAAAAAGTTGGCGTCACATATATATTAGATGGTCGATTACATTATCTTCAAGTTTATACATCTGCAACGCGTCATACTAAATTACTCCTCAAACCTCGTTTAACGAGCTTCGTGTTAACTACCCATTTAACACGTAGCTATTATTTATTCACTCCGAAAGGTTATTTCTTACTTGTCTCGGCTTGACTTGACTTCAGCTGTCATAGGCGTTTCCGGGTGACCTCCCATTCGATGGCTCTCGGCGGCCACCCTTGACCCCGCATACAAGCATCGCGGAAGCGGAAGTATTCTTCCTGTCGTCGTTTTTTTGTTTTGTTTTTTCATCGGGCCTTTCTTCCGGTCACTGCTCGTTGTCTCTTCCGGTTCCGGAAGGCATTTCCGGGCTAGTTTCGGAAATGGTGTTATTGGTGTTTTTTCCTTCCCAATTTCGTCATCTTTGAGTGAGTTGTTGCCTGGGTCGAATCCGACTGATACAAATGTAAATGTTCCCATCTCTTATCATGGAAATATTCTACTCAATTTTCTACGTCGCTGCCTCTTCTGTGTTGTGTTGCTGCTGGGCATTGTGGCTAGCGGAACGTTTGCTTGATCAAGATTTTGAACAAATATTGGTTCGGTTCTTGGCTTGGCGGTTTGTTTATGGTGTGGCGTTGCAGCGTCACACAGAAAACGCACAATCTCTACAAGTTTACATAAAGATATTTATTAAAATGATAAAGATAGAGATAAAGAAAATTGCATATAAAGAGTGGTTTTGGTGGGATTTTAGCAAAACTGGGATGGAGATTATCATATACAATACGCTCAGACTTTTGCCACATAGTTTGTGTGTGTCTGTGTGTATCCTCAGCTCTATACATGCAACATTTGTTTTTGTTTGAGGGGGGGGGGGAGATGATTACTCACTCAATTTCAACCTATGTTGAGTAATAATCCAGCACAACACCTTACAATTGCAACCACCGCCGTTCAGTTATCGTAAGGCACGCAAGTATTTCGAATATATGTTTTAAGCAGGGTTTTCGCAACTAGCGCCGGCATTAGCACACGGCCAAAGGCAGGATCCAGACAGGAAACATTGACTCTTCCTCAAGCTCATTATCAGTCACTCTTTCACTTTTTAGATTATTTATCACAAACAAATGCTTTCCGTTATATACAGAGAGTAGTACACCGCGATGAACTATAAGAAATGTTGCAGTTTTGTTTTGAATATTAACAGGTTGATGTGTTAAGGGCGCGTAAATAAAAGTAACCGCGCTTAATGTATTAAAACCTGATCTGGAAAAACCTTGTAGATGTTTTCTCGTCCTAGTTGTAATATATTAGGCTACTATAATATACTGGCAGAGACAAACACTCCCGCGACGCCTTTTTGTAAATGGATCTTGTAAGTGCTTTGAACGGTTTAAAGGCATAAATTTCATCCCGATTTGCGTGAAACTTGGTTCAACACATTAATATATACATCTAACCTATAGTAATTTATATTAAAAGTATCAGTAATTGTTTGTTTTTGCGACGGTATTGAAGTTTCCAGTATGGTCTGAAGGGCCGTGATGCTCTACTGACAGCACTAAAACCGTAACATCAAAATATTTTTTTCAGGCTAGGTGGCGCGAGTTACCGCCCGGTATAAAGGGTACAGCAATTAGCATCCATCCATCCATGTTGTAATACCGCATTGGACAATTTGGGGGTAGTACAGTGTGTTCCTCACTGGTTACAAGAATTTGAATGATTAAACTCACGCCAGCAAAAAAAAAAAAAAAAAGAGAAAAAAAATTTTGAAGACATTCAAGCACTTCTTATGAGTTGTGAATGCGAAAGCATGAATGTCGTTCTTCCGCTCCCAGTTCGCCTGCGGCGTACTGGCGTGGATGGCCACGTTTCGCTGCTGCCGAGGTTGCGGCCGACGGCCGAGCGCGCGCTCTCGTGAAGTGGCCGCGCCGCGCTGAGCTCGGCCGTGCAGCCTCTCCGGAGTTTGCCAGAGCGGGCTCTGCAGGCAGCTCCTCCCACTTACCGGCGGCCGGGCCGCTGCGTGCGCTGCGCCGCCATAGAGAGGGCTTCTCTGGTGGCGTTCTTTGAAACTACGCCGCCCGAGAGCCAATGATAGCCTTGTTTCATGAAACTATGACGGGCACCAGCCAATGGGAGCATATCCATCAGATTTCTGCTACAGACGACAGGCTTCGCTCCATTGGGACAGGGGAAGGTGCCGTTTGGCGGGCCTTCAAAAGCTGATGATGTCGGTTCGCTCTATAAAACAATTAATGCTTTCGCATTAAGAAAAAAGAACACGCACAAAATACTGCGTTTTTTAGACTGCCTGCCCGATTGGCAAGTTAAACAACAAGGGACGTCACACCACTTGAGACCGTGGTAAAATTTGAACGTTGGTTTTGACACCACCTTTACTTGCCGTTTTCATGAGAGCTGGTTTTAATCTACAGGTAATAAATAGAGTACCGGAAAGAGTAAAACCTTCCGAAAATAGGCCTAGCTAAGGTAGCAAAAAAAAACACCAAAACTTCTTTTTTTTTTTTTAGTGACGCCATCACGGCATCAAAAGTGTCAGACTTGTCCCAGAACTCCAATAAAGTGTACAAAAGAACAGAGACCAAATCTGCGAGAGGTATGAACAAGATGGCATATATTTCGTATATGTACAACTTAAATAATAAGCACTCGTAGTGGGCTTCATCCCATGGCGTGTTCCTCCGGTGTCGTCTGCTCACGGAGCAAAGCCGTGCCGCGACAGATAGTTCTTCGATATCACACACTCAAAAAAGGCAATACAATGCATGCACGCAAAAAAATTATTTTTGTTTCATGGTTACCGACAATTTAAGAAACGCAAGGGTGGGGGTAGAGTCCTGCGCCTCCTATTGTCTACTCCGCAGCCAGTCAGAAACCAGGAATCACCTTTTAAAAAAGGCCATGAACCAAGCACGGAGCGAGAACACGTAGCCACGCCCTTTGTTTCTTAAGTTGTCCGCAACACTTTTGATTTCTGCTGATGTTGGTCTTGAAATATTCTTTTTCTTTTCATTCGAAACAAGGCTTACGTGCGCTTTTTCTGACGTTACCCGCTTGTTACAGCGTTACCCGCTCGTTCGCGTTACACTACGGGCGCCGACAACTTAAAAACCGCGGGACGTCGCGAGTGGCGAGCTTCTTATTAGCATTTTGCAGTTATTAAGATTCTACCGCCAGCCGATAAGAACACCGAATTGCAGTGCGAGAAGTGTGAACACACTAAGACACCCCCGGCGTTTGTTAAAAGCTCTCATGTGACTGTAGCGAGACCGATTTATGAAACACATCCACACATATGCGCCTCACCCGTTCTCCGCCGGGTGGCGCCACCGGCCGGCCGAGCGAAGCGCGGTTGGTATACGTTCCGGCTTAGTTTTGCCGGTGACTGTACTTCCGAGGCTTTTGGGGGAACGGAGACTGGACTTGGTCGGCTTCTGCCGGGAAAACGCAGAGTCCTCCTGTTCGTCGACTCATCCGGTTGTGAGCCAACAGGCTGTTTTTAGACGAGTCCGCGTTTGCCGCACGCCGCAGTGCCTGGAGCGCGTCTCAGACTGGTGTTTTTACCATCCTGTCCAGGCCGAGGCGTCGATGGGGGTCCCGAAGAAGCAACAAATAGACTTTTTGCATTTTTGCCGCCGCCTGTCGGCGCGTTGTTGAGAATGCCGGGCTGCAAGCTTCAAAGATGGCGGCTTCTTCGTCGGCGTTTCGACCCAATTCTGGACGAGGAGTTTCAAAATCCCAATAACCGGCAGATATAAAAAAAAAAAAAAAAAAAAAAAAAAAAACTTTACACGCTGGCATTTTTAAACAAAAAAGGAGCTAAAGAGGCGGAGTTCATTATAGAAACGCGCAGCTTTACGATTTCACCGTACAAGGCGCTCGTGTTCGGCAGGAGCACTTTGGTCAGAACTGACATTAGCCTAGCGGCATCGAGAAGACTTTCATATCAAGAAAAAAAGCCCAAAATCGGGGAAATGATTGAGGAGATTTCTGACGATCAGTGAATTTAAGAATCCAAATGCGAGTGCTGCATGAGAGTTGCTCAGATAGACGAAGAACGCTTGGAGTAGGTTCGACGCGTCACTGCGATCTAGGTTCATCACATTCCGAGTGGCCCCCCATTGTGTCCCATAACCAAGGTTGGCGCGCCGCCATCTTTGAGGCAGTTGGAACGCATACTCGATAGATGGCGCCACAAATACGAACGTGGTCTACTACGCCACAGGAGCCGCCGTGTCACGTTGTCAGATATTGTCGCGATCCTGGCGGGTGGATGTAAAACTTTTGGCAAAAAAAAAAAAAAAAAAAGAGGCGAGCGAACGCAAGGGTTGCAGTCGTCGCGGCGTCTCATCTAGCGTCTGCTTTAATTTCATTTCACATTCACCACAGCATTCACCACAGCTTCGTGGCCCTATACCAAAAACCCAGCTGACGAAAGCATGACACTTTTATGACGTCATCAGGCGGAAATCGAGGGACTACTTTATGAGGGACGCGCTGCTAAACACACCGGTCGGAGGCGCGCTCCAGACACCATATATTGCTCACACCAGGTGGGAGTTCTGCGCATGCGCACAAACCACGGACTGTACAGGGTCTGTGCCGCGTGTTGGTGCATGAATCGTTGCGCTTTAATATAGGCGTGGAATACTGTGGGTCCTATGGTCACACGCCTTTGCAGAGCAGTTGAACGTGTTCTCTCGCTCTGAGTCTGAGCGCTACGATGCTCGACGTCCGGTCGGAATTCGTGGGGTCGTCGTCGCCGTCTTGAGGCTGCGACTGTGACTTGGGCTCGTTGGACAGCGCCAGGTTGAGCGGGGAACTCGGCGGAGCAAGCCTGAATTGCGAAAAAAAGGAAATTGCGCATTTAATAAAAATGCAATGCAAAAAAAAAAAAAAAAACTTATTTGGTATTTTTATGAAACAAAAGTGTGCACCTAAGGTATATGTTTGGCACACTTTTTTTTTATATCAGAAGTATACTTCCCATTTATTTCTAATATACTTTGAGTAAACTACGCAAATTTTTTATAGAAGTGCAAAACTAGTAGAGTCTTATCTAATTACTTTTTTCCATGAATAGTATTACACCCATCGATGCTGGAATTGATGGTAAAACATGGAGGGTAGCAAAAGTTGAAGAATAGGTGGCGCAAACTACCGTCCCATTCCAATGATATGGGCTAGCAACAGACTTGTACCGTACGCATTACAAGTAATCAGATTACTTGTAATCGATTACTTTTTGGAGTAATTTTGTAATCAGTTGATTACTTTTATTAGGCAGTAATCACAAGAGTAATCTGATTACTTTTTGATGTAATAAAATTACTTGTAACCGTTACAATTTTTCTACGGGACCCTCGCCCCCTCCCCAGGGCACACGCTTTTTTTTATGAAATGACAAAAATAAAATTTGCTTTTTTTTTCTTTTTTTTTTTTTCGAACAGAAAAAAGAAAGATTTTTGCGGAGCTGTAGGAAACTAGGTCAATCTCTTTTTATGTACAGTTTCTGTGGAAGGTCCGTTCTTTTTTCTTTTTTTTTTTCGAGCTGGGAAGCCCCAGGGAAGCCACAGTGCGTGACAAAGGCCATTCAGGGCGAAGTTTGAGGAAGCAGAATGTAGCTTTGTGAGTTCATCATTCAACCTAGCCCCCTCACGCACACACGCACATAAATAAAAAAATAAAAAGATCCTACTTAGGGTACCTACTCGCAGCTCGTAGGAGAACCAGAACCGAAGAATGCCTAAAGCGGATGCAAAATATAACAAAGGCAGTTGAAATATTTCCCCATTTCCCCTACGTGGTCTTTGTGACAAGCAATGTTTCGAGTAGAGAAGTGGTCGGGGCGATCTTTTCCACTAATAGATACTATACATAATCCGTTTCAAATCCTGGAGCTGCTGCTCTTGTGCATAACATGCGAGCTCATCCACATGTGAATAATAAAATGAGCGACGCAAACTTTGAGCGACAACCCTTGCTCAAGCTTAACAAGATCTAGAACCCCCTTCCCTTCCCCCCCTCCCCACCCCACACACACACACTAGCGAACGCCCAAATCATTAAACGTCTTTAAACGAATTCTATGCTTGTGTCCGCATTGTGAAGGTGCAACGACCACGAAGAGGGAGCCAGTTTTTCTCCTTCAATGTTATGAGCGCTAAAGATGTGTCTTCACACAATAAAGTAATCGAAAAAGTAACGATTACTTCTTTAAGTAATGTCCAATTACTTTTGCCGTCCAGTAATCAAGTAATCTAATCGATTACTTTTTAGCCAAGTGTAATAGTAATTGTAATCGGTTACTCTTCTTTAGTAACGTGTACAAGACTGGCTAGCAACACAACCTATACACTGATATGCCTCTACGCTCCTCTTATGGCGTAACGCTATGGGCCCGGCAGCGTGACATTAATTTTCAGTCGTTTTTCAATGGCGGCGGAGTCTATGGCGTAGTGCTTAACTCTAGTAGTGCGTTTCGTCGAATTCATTTGTCAGTTTGAAGTGATTTCTGACCAAACCAGGGATGATCCGTACTATACAGTATGTGCTGTGCAAGAGACGTGGGCCCCTGAATACCTGCACAGCAAGGAATATGAAATCAGGATATGTTGGAGACGGTTTCAATTAGGCCTCATTTTGTTGGACTTGCAGACAGTAAATATTCTTTGACGACTACGCTACTATTTAGTTTGATGCAATATATGTATTCCTAACTCGTAGAAATTTAATCAAAGGCACATACTTGTTCACCGATTCCTTAATTGGTTTTCTATAGTGTTAGAATCCTGCAGAGCACGAGAGCTCACGATACGAAAGGCGACAACACTCTAGAAAAAAGTCCGTACGTCTACTTTCCCGCACAACACTCGGAGAGCCGATCACCGCAACTTACGGAGGCAGCTCAGCGAATGACGATGACGAAACCTATGTTTAGACCAAAAAAGCAGTCTGAGTTGTGACATTACGCAATGCAAGCGTGATGTTTTGCGTTGCTCAGCGCGGGCGAACAGTCTAGAACTTTGCCCGGCGGCTCGGCTCGGCTTCGTCAAGGCGAGTATAGAGATAACTGGAAAGGCCTGTCAGTCTAGGACTCTAGGTGGTGTGTGCCGTGCCATTTCTACGTACAAAAAACGTTAAAGGTTATCGCAAATCTGTATATTTTTATCTTTTATTTCGTAAAATCGCCAACCCCCGCCCCCACCGCCCACACACACACAAACACTTTTTTTTATTGCTGCATATAGTGGTAAAACTGCGAGTGAGCGCTATCATCACTTCATTTTTATTTTTACTTTAACTCTAAGCCAGGCGATTTTTTGGCTTGTTTGAGGTTGTGTTGTTCGAATGTAAACGAAAACAGGTCCATACCTCTGATAGGTGTCGGCCCGTCCTTGTAGAAAGGCTGCGGCGGCCGTCGAGGTGGCGTAGAAGGGGGCCGCAGCCGTCCCCATAAATGGGGCGCCCGAGAGGAGAGGGGGCGCCAGCCAGGGGTCCAGAGGCAAGCCGGGACCCACCATCGCATTGGACCCGGAGCCCGGGCTGGACGGGGATTGACCCCCTCCACCCAGCCGGTGCTGGAGGGCGCTCTGAGACTCCATCTTCTCTTGGCGACGCCATTTGGCGCGCCGGTTTTGGAACCACACCTGCGGCGAGAAGGGAATCGAACCCTGGGTGTCTATTTCTGCCTGTAGGGCTCACTGGACTTGTACAGAACACGCGAACTGCGTTTTATCTCGTCGGAGCGCTATCCTGGTAGCAGCCAAAGAACTGCTCCACGAGGTATAGACGCTTTCAGCGCGCGCCAAATTGAGCCGCCATAGCCGACCTTCTCTTGACTTACCGAGATGCCAAACCACTGAAGCGAGCGTTGACGAGCCTCCACAAAGGCCTATGCCGGGGGGAAGGACACAGTAAAACTTACAATAGCAATAACCTGTCCTGCTGTGGTAGTGATAAAGTGGAGTGAACGGAATAATAGGAAACAAAAGCTGAAGGTCGGTTATGGCGCCGCCCATGCACAGATGCCTGAAAGCGTCTATAGTGCTCAGAACGGTCAAAGCAGGTGAGGGCGCGCCTGCTCAAGAGCCGCAATTGTTGCTGAATCGGGGACAACAGAACAATCTTGCTTGCGTGGCGATCTATGCTTATTGTTTCATATAATAGGAACATCAGACACTTACTTAGTGCGTCATCCAGTCACTGCCGGTTTCGATGGTCACATTTGCAAGTTTGTGCCGAGAGGTGGCCATAAGTATGTGGGAAGCAAGTCGTCTGCTTTCTGGACAGTAGTGGTGGAGCTATCAGAACGACGCCGAGCTTCTGATTGGCTTTGACTGAAAGGATAGTAGGTAGCTCAATGCTAGATGCCGTATGGTCTACCCGCTTTTTTTTCTTTTTTTTTTGATCAGTCAATAAGAGCTTGGCTTTCTGACATCATTGCAACTCTTGTGTGAGGAGCAGACCAAATTGCGCTCGACGTAGATAGGCAACCCCCTCCCCTCAAAAAAAAAAAAAAAATGCTGCGGTGTTTAAGGTCTGGCGTTTGGCTTTCCCTGTTCGGGCTGTTCCACTGAGCGCATGCCATGAAGCCGTTCTTCGACTGCCGCCAGAGTAGAGCTTCTGCGAGGTGAGGCACCGCCTTCCGAATCAGTGTTTGGTGAACACTGTTACACACACCTCATGACACTGTGAGCTCAAACGCGACGTCGTCTGTTTTCTGCGTTTTACTCGGCCACCAAAATGTACCTCTTTTGGTCACCGCAGTATGCACGAGGGCTTTCCTCCAAACTTTAGTTTCTGTGACAGCTGTTCTACATTAAAAGAAAGACAGCAAAAACATTAGACTTTTTGTGAGTGGTTAAAGTGCAACCCTCTGTATACATCCACACATTGTTTGAATGAATAAATGAACGAATGATGCAACTCATTTAGGTTGCTTTCTGTAATTGGGTTGGTAGCACCCTTGTGCCACGTTAGCTCTGAATTTGATGTCCCGTGCATCTCATTATCAGTCCCTAGCCAATGAGGTTACGGCATTGGACGATGAGACCGCCAACGGACAAATCACAAAGAAGCGCTAACCTTATAAGCCACGCCCTTGGATTGTTAGGCCGTCAGTAGTAACTATGGTTTAGTTCAGAAGCTTTAATAAAGGTGTAGTTGATTGGCATCAAACTATAGAAAACTACCCGTGTTTATTTTGTCTTATTTTGGTCTATGGACCAGCCCACTGTTTACAAACAAGCCCGCTTTGCCCACAGTGTGGGCAGAGCACTTGCGCGGAAACAAGATTCGCGAGAGATGACGCGTCTGCGCATGCGCAGTGGCGACAGCAACGCCGCCGCAGTAGCGTGGCGTCTGAGGGTAGAGTTGGGGTATAGTTTGTGGCTTCCGCCACCAGGGGGCTTCCACGAGACTGCTTTTCGAGATCTAGATGGATTGCAGCTTCGACAACTTTCGTGGTTTGTTTGGAGGCAGTAAAACACCATTGCCGTTGAAACGTATACGCTTAAAGCCTCTGTCGAATATTAAACTCTGCATTGTTAAGCGGCTGGCTCCAATTGGTGATTCTAAATATGCGCAGGAAGGCGAAAAATGCATCTATAATTCTATATACACGATTTCGCCACAAGAACCGTAGTAAAATAAAAGCCCGGCTCCTCGGGGAGCATTTTTAATTTCCCACTTTATGTATAGAAATAAAATATGTAGGTTCATTTCAGATTTTATGTATACTTATATGTTATTTTATGAAGAAGTGTACGTTTCGAACGGCAAAAGCATCACGGCTTCTTCCGACAACCGAATTTTGTAAGAGCTACTTCCCGCGGCGTATGGACAACGCACAAAACGTCAATTTTTTTTTAGTTGAGAATGAATAGAGTCGCTATTTTGCTGGCCCGCCTGTCATGAAAAAAAAAATATTTATACTAAAACTAAATTTGTATTCTAAAAAAACAAAAAGAATACGAATATACTTGACCAAATTGCAGGAGGACACTTGAAGAGGTACGGAAACAAAATGTTTGCTCTTATGTCCTTGTTTAGCTATGGTCTATGTTGTGGTTGAAGCATAGAAACGCTAGTCAAGGCTATTGTTTTTGGGCTGCCAGTAGAATAGCAAAGAAACCTATTTTTAAAATGAATTAACAGGTGTCAAGATTCCGCATGGTAGCGATCTGGGAAGCTCCGTTGAATGGCGCCAAGTCATCGGCCTTTAAGAAGCAGCGCCAGTTCGCGGCAGTATGGCTCTCGCGTGGAGTCACTTAGTCCTGAATGTGACTTGGTGGATGACCGCTAACGAGTCTACCTCGTTGTATATGCTAACTTCCCCAGCGCCTCCGCAACGTGCATTCCACACCATCGAGATCGGCGTTCTTTGCACACGTTAGGTAGGAGCTTGATATGAGGATGCAAGGACCTCCGCTATGCCAATCATAGTTCCCCCCCCCCCCTTTCCCAAAAAACGCTGTGAACAACGCGCTCAAATATTGCACCCAGTGAACACCTTATACTTAGCTTCCAGGTGTCGCCATTGCTGCATTGCTGGGTACTGACGGTTCTTTCTAGTTTCCGGTTCCCTCAAGAGGCGGTGTGAGACTAACACGGTCAACCGAACGCTAGTGGCACATATATATATAAAATACGGGCATGACCGCGTATGACGTTATGGGCAAGCTATACATTGCCCATAGGGCGTATGGTCCTCGGAAATCACTACTAGGCGAGATGGATGAATGGATGAATCCGGCTGAGCCCTTCGGATCGGGCGGTAGCTTACGCCACCTAGCCATTGACCTAGCGAGATTATCGCGCGTTGACGCCACCAAGCGGCAACGCCCGCAACTACAGTACCCTCGGCCGTGCAGGAGCCATTGACGTCACGGACGCGATACGCATTGCGCTTCTCGCTGGCTGATTTCGAAGCGAGGGGTAGAGAGAGCTCGCGGCCAAGTTATTTAGTTTCCGTACCTTTTTAAAGGGGTCATGAAACGATTTTCCTACTTCTTCCTCCTTAGCTTTAATCCTCAACTCAAATGTGAATTGTGAAATCACGTGGTCGTGACATTCCTTCGGCACCGGTGCGATGACTCCTAGCTTCCACCGTGCTTTTTATGCACACCATAGAACTTGTCATTCCCCAGTGACAACAAGTTCCGTCAGGGCACTCATTGGCCACGAACGCGAATCCAAATATTCGTGGACGGATTTATTGTTGACGAGCGCATACGTCCGAGTGACGCAGTTCTCGTGTCCGATGCGTGAGCTGGGCTCTGCTGACGTCAGTTTGGCGCCGGTGACGCGCTTTTGGAACCGCGGATTTATCATAGTGAAAAAGCGGAGAGCTTTCCAAGGCAAGAAGGTACAAAATAGTCCGCTATATTTTCAAATGTTCGTACTGAAAAGCTGGCTTTTGACTTTCTAGCCTCTTTTTTTTGGCCAACTAAACGATATGCGATTAGTAAAGTCCTAATTTAAAATCATTCATTCCAACCCAAAATTCGTTTCATGGCCCCTTTAATAACAAGTTCTTTTGTGGTCAGCTTGTGGCAGAAACATACGTCGTCTGTAGATATCTCCAAGACAATCGAGCTGTTTAAGTCATCTAAAATATAAACATTGCAGCGGCCGCACTGTCTCGCGTTCCCGCCTGTCAAAATCAAAGTGGAATGAAATAGCTAAACAAATAAACTCCCGCTCGTTCCCATACCATCCAAGCGTGACTGCGTGGCCCACAGCAAAGAAGAAGAAAAAGCGTGTCTGCGTAACGTAGTAGTAAAGACAAAAAAAAAAAAAAAAGTCTGCGTGGCGTAGTTTGTAGAGTAGCGGGCTAGCAGCTGAAGGGTCGGGGGTTCGAATCCCACCTCTGCCTCAAATTCTTCACATCTTTTTCCCTAAGGCAAAAGAATTTGAGACGTGCGCGGCAACCTTCAATTCGCATCCCATGTCATGTTTAAAAACTTTCATTCCACGCGTGACGTCACGTTTCATATTACCGTTGTGAGTTGTTTGAAATTCCCGCGAGAAGGTGATGTGACTGTGACATCACGACCCTATCGACCAATCGGAATTTTCGCTCATGCCACCGACGCAAGCGACTTTTCTGCAACACGAACTCCTCAAAGCTCTCGCTTTAAAACCTATACGGCAAGAAAGTGTTCTAAAATGCCTCTCTCGCGCGTCGGAACGCATGAAGAAGCACGCCAATCGAAGGGCATCATAAAGAACGCGTAGACCACGCGATGACTAGGCATCTAAGTAAGCACCGTCATCGGGAGGTAAACATACGCATGACACACTCAAAGAGCAGGGGCCCTATAAGCTGGACGCTTGGCGAAAACGACGGCGAGAAATTTGGCGGTCGCGATTGGCCAACGCCACACTCGACCTTGGCGCCGGCAAATCATAGCCACCGAATTTCTCGCCGACTTTTCCGCCAAGTGTCCAGATTAGGGCCCCAGGAGAACTTGCGGGGCGTATAGGCCTTGGAAAGATGCAATTTTTTTTTTTTTATAAAAAGATCTACAATGTTTTAAAGTTGCGGAAAACCAAAAAGACAAATGTTCTCGCTTGGAAACCTTCTGAGGCCTTCTTGAGATTGGTCAGCTCTCGATTTCTGGAAAACATATGTTTAATGTTCAAG